GTAAAGTTCTCACACTATAAATGAAGTGGTATATTACTTAAGACTAGAATACGATGAAAATTCATACACAATAGGGGATGCCTGGGTGGCTTAGTCGGTTAAGCATCTGCCTTTGGCTCAGGTTATGGTCTCCAGGTCCTGGGATCGAGTCCCCAAGTCAGTCTCCCTGCTCAGTGGGGAGTCTGCTTCTGCCTCTCCCTCTGCCACTCCCCAGCCCCCCAAACTCATGCTCGCTCTTGCTCACTCTCTCTCAAATAAAAAAATAACAAAATTTACATACAATAAACCCTAAAAACACTTAAAATTTAAAACAAAGTATTATAGCCAAGAAGCCAACAAAGAAGAGGAAATGGAATAATAAACAAGTATTCAAAAGAAGGCAGATAAAAAGGGAGACAAAACTCAAGATGGTAGATTTAAACACAACGACATCAATATTCACATTCAATGCAACTGGTCTTAACACTCCCAACTAAGGCATAGGTTGGCAGACTGGATTAAAAAAAGGCAAAACCAAAATGTATGCTGTCCACAAGATGGACACTTTAAATATAAAAAATACCAACAAGTCTCAAGTAAAAGAAGATAATACTATGTTAGTACCTGGGTTTTTTTAAGTTTTTAAGTGGATTGCTAGTAATAAACATAAGCTTTTAAAGCAAAGATTATTATCAGGAATTAAATGGGCAATTAAATAATGATATGAATGAATGTCAATTCAACATGAGAACATAACAATCCTAAACATTAATGAACTATAAACAGAGTTTCAAAATAAAGCAAAACCAGTCAGAACTAAAATGAAAAATAGACAAAATCCACAATCTCCTTGGGGATTTCAAGACCCCAACATTAAATGATAGCAACGACAGACAGAAAATCAGTAAGGATATAGAACTTGACCACCACCATCAGCCAACATCACCTAATTGGCATTACAGATTATTTCACTCAAGAGAGCCAGAAGATACATTCTTTTCAGGTGAATATGGAACACTTATGAAGATGTATCATGAACCATAAAGCAACTCTTAGAAAATTTTTTAAAAGGAATCAAATCATACAAACTATTTACTAACGAAAATGGAATTAGAAGTCAGCAACAAAGATCTTTGGACACTAAATATTTGCCCAAATATTTGGACACTAAATAACACACACTGAAAATAACCCATGGATCAAAGCCAATGCCAAATGGAGAATTATGAAGTTTTGAACTGAATGAAAACAAAGACACATCATCAAAATTTGTTGGAACGAAGCTAAAGCAGTGCTTGGAAGGAAATTCATAGCATTAAAATACCGGTATCAGAAAAGAATTGCCTCAAATCAGTGACTCCAGCTCACACTTTAATATAGAAAAAGAGCAAACTACACCTGAAATAAGTAGAATAATAAAGAGCAGAAACTGGTGAAATAAAAAGCAGAAAAACAACAGAGGAAATGATGATGGAAACAAAATCTGATTTGTTTCCTTTTAAATCAATAAAACTGATCTAAAAAAAGACATGTTAGGGCACCAGCGTGGCTCAGTCAAACATCTGCCTTCGGCTCAGGTCATGGTCCCAGGGTCCTGGGATCAAGCCCCGCATCGGGGTCCCTGCTCGGCGGGGAGTCTGCTTCTCCCTTTCACTCTCCCTCTGTGCTCTCATGCTAACAAATAAAATCTTTTTAAAAAATAAAATATAAAAAATTTTTAAAAAGATATGTTAACATTAGGATTGAGAGAGAATATCACTACGTATCTTACTTTATTAAAATACAAGGGGAAAAAAAATACAAGGGAATTTCCAACTTATGCCAATAGATTTGACAACAAATTCCTTTGAAGATGCACAACCCCAAAGCTTACTCAAGAATAAATAACATGAATAACCCTTAATCTACTTTTAATATTGGTTTGTAATGTAAGAAGGAAATTCCAGACTCAGGTTGGCTTTATTATCAAATTCTACCTAACACTAATGGAAGAAATAATGACAATATGATACCCAGTCCTTCAGAAAACTGAGCAGGAGGGAGTTAACACTTACCCAAAGAACCTGTGAGGCCAGCATGACCTTTATAAACTCAAACCAGAAAGACATGACAAAACCCTGGAAGAGCTTATCACCACCTTTCAGTTATTTTTAAAAAGCCGTAAATATGTCAATGTCTCAGAAATAGGTGAAATTACTACTCAACAGTGGCAAGATTTGAAGATTTTCATTTTATTAAAAATATAGCAACACAATAGCAGCATCATTTGATAAATCTTTACTAGTACCACTTAGAAGTAGTCCTACTCACATAAATATACACCACCTAATGCAGCATCTTTATGTTTACATTTTAAACTCTTCCCTTAATAATCATAGCATTATGTAAAGAACACTATTGTTAAGATTCAGGAGAGTAATATTTAACTGTTAAACGAACTACCTACACAACTACACAATACACCCAAATGTCATCTTCTGTGGAAATGGGGGAGTTCTGTAGATTGTTCCCCAAGAGTCTGCTGCCTGCCACACAACCTCAGGTGGGTAGAACTCCATAGCCTCAACTCTAATTCCTTCAGTATGATTTTCATAAATTTGAACTTGTACATAGAGTCAAGAAATTATCTATCTAGCAAATAAAAGTTAATCAGGAGTGAAGAAAACTGTATTATTCCATTCCAATCCCAGGAAAATAAATCTTAGCAGTAAAATATGTGAAGTTTCCCAAAAGTTGGCAACTTTCAAAATTAAAATGTTAGCTAGATACAAAGTAAATTTAAAAATTAGGCAACAAACTAAAACCCTGCTTTTAAAAACAATATATTAAGTATTATATTAAATATAAAGTAAGTTATAATAAATTAGTTGCTAGGAACTATAAAAATACCTTAAAATAGAATGGAAAGAAATCTAGTTATTACTACCAACCTCAATAGGGACCAAAAATCATTAATAGCTCCAGCTTTTATTTTTAAAATAATGTATCAATCTTCAGGCAGAATCACCAAATAGGACATTTAAGAAAAACAAATTCATCCACAAACCCAAAACTAAGTAGGGAAGTCAATCTGATTTTAAAAGACTTTATTATATCATACTGGACTACCGCTTCCAGAAATGTAATTTAGCCCTTTTAAGAGCACTAACTTTTGAAATTTGAAAAACAATTTTAAATGAGTATTACACTAAATAAACGTAAGAATACTATGTAAGTGTGAAAATAAAAAAATATCTAAACACATAAAGAACATACTTTGTGGAAATGGCTCTACTTCATAATCCGCCCAGTTAAAACCAGATATTATCTTTTAGTGAAAATATAATCACTCACTGAAATGTTAAGTTATTCAATGCATCCCTCCAAAAGGACTCATTTTAATAGCTAATTCAACTTCTAAAAAAAAGACATTTAAATCAAATCATATTATTTCTAATGGATTTTTTTAAATGTTTAAAAGCCTGTTACTACATATTATAATTCTTAAAATTAATTATCTTCAGAGCTGATTTGGATTAAGGGTTTAAGTTTTAAGGTAAAGACAGCAACATATATATAGGAATGAATGAGGTCCTGGAAATAACTAAAATCACAAATGAAGTTATTTTCTTCACAAAAAAAGGATTCTAAATGAGTTATTTTTGAGCATTTCAAAATTTAAGTCTCTGACATTTCTGAAGATCAACATACCATATATAGACTAACCTCTTGAATATAAGAATTCTGAACAAAATCACAAGCTGATTAGTGTTTGCAATTATAAATTAATTAGATTAGATGGAGAATAATGAGACAATTGCAGAAGTTAAGGATTTATACTTGTTTTCACATACAAAACTAGCCAGCTTATTATGAAGGCCCACCTTAATATAAATAATTCATTACGCATTGCTGCAAAGAAAGAACAAGAGGATCAACAGAATTTGTCTAAAATGAGGAAGAGCAACACAAGGAACAGAGTGTACTCTCTGTATAATCAAGCTAAAAAATTATAAAGGGATCACATATAAAATGGCTATCTTCTTTGTCTTACCTCAAGTTTTCCTGACAACATCTACCTGGGTTGAAAAAGAATAGCCTTAAAGAAAAAAACAAAACGCCTTAAAAGAAAATAACATGGAAACCTACCAGGCTCCTATAAGTGAACAAAGAAAAAATATGTCTTTCTCTCTCGATCTGTCTCTCTCAATCTCTCTCTCTCTCTCTCTCTCTCTCTCTCACACACACACACACACACACATGCATACTCACACTCACTCCAATACCTCCAGGCCCTAAAAAGCTTTGCTTCCATAAGCCCATTTAAGAACATTTTTTTACTTCATCTGGATCTCTTGTATTCCTATTCATGTCCAACTTTCACATATCAGAGTCTTTCAAAAGAAGTATCATTATTTTAAAGCTGAATATCACCAACAGGAAAAAATAATTAGCAGCAAGAACCAAATTAAGTGTGTTAACTGCCAACACAGAAAACATTAAGAGTCCAGAGTACAAGAAATAATTCAAACTTTAAATGACTGTTTTATAGACACCACACATTCATTCTCCATGTCGAAACAATCTCTATGCCAACTAAAACAAGATAAACATAAACTAAGATGCTGTTTTGAAATCCATAAACAAATACTTTCCTCTAAAATACTTAGCTTTATTAGAGAAATGGTACTAAAAATAACAAAGATTCAAACATTTGCTCTATTCTACTTACATATTATAAATAAGACAACTGTTGATGCAAGACACACACTCCTTCACAATCTTTCCATATGCACTCAAGCATTCTTGTATCAGAATAAGCTGTTTACCAGCCAACCGTATGTGGTTGAATGATTAAAATGACCATCTATACTTTACATAGTAAAGCATTTTCAAAAATTTTAATGTACACAGTGACAAAAAGGAAAAAAAAACACAGTAATTCTGAACACATGAAAGAGTAATTAAGCAGCTTCGTAGTCAAACCAGGCTTCATTGCAATAAGGGCAATTCTTTCCATTCTCTACCAAATACTTAGTTTCAATAGTATTAACATTAAAAGAAAACTCAAGTTGAAACCAAGTAACTGATGAGCTACTCAGCTATTTAAATCTATAAGTAATTCTTCCCATGAGGTAAGGCAACGGAGTAATCTGATTGTATTAGACTGCATTAAAATAATTATACTTGATTTTTTTAATAACATGCTAATTAAAAGGTATAACTTTGGGGGGAACAAAACAATAATGAAAAGATTTCTGAAACTATGAGTTATGGCTTTGGGGGAAAATATTAGCAATGTTGTCATTTTACTACTTGTTACTTCCTGCAGAAAGTGAGCCTAAGCGTAATGGATGACCTGTATTTTAAACTCAAGTAAACATATCCTTAAAACAAATAACCTCATGTGTTCTCCTTTACATAGAATTTCTGCACATCATTTATGAGAAGATAATTAAGAGGTAATAATTAAGGCCATCCAATGGAGACAACGAAAGTGTTCACTTTGATTTAAGTCAAGTAAGAACATGCTTCATTTTCAATTATCACAGTATAAAACTGATGGTCCCAAAACTGCATGGTTGTTGTAAGCTCTCAAGTCATTCTTGAAAACAGGACTTCCCTCATGTTAGGTGAAATATGTAAGAAGCTCTTCTGACATACCACTTGCACACTTCTCTATGGGAGTGAATGGAATATCCATCTACATCCCCTATGAACTGAGAATGACTAGCACATATAAAATTCTAGAAAACAGCACACCACACTGTAGAAGGCACTAAAGCTTCAGCTTGTGCTCCCATAGCCCATTTTGAAAACCCAGTTTTCTTTTTATAATGCCACCTTTGCCACCTACAGCTGACAACACACACTGCAATATTATTCATAATAAGCTTGGGAAGGTCAAGGAAGTTCAAAAAGAAATGCTTACTTTGTGGGGAGACCCAATGATTCTAAACACCGAATACTAATACATTATTATTAGTATTCAACATGGGTGCTCTTCCTTTTGAAAGAGAACAGGAGCATGCATTGTCAGTTGTTTGTTAAACCACTTAGTTAAGCAATTTTAGTCTGTAAAACTATTTTAACGAGAAAAAAAAAACTGTTGTCCTAAACAGTGAGCAAAAGAAAACACAATAAGTGAGAATTTAACACAATCACCATAAATCCTGTGAAGTAAATGTTAAAAACTTCTTACATACTCTGCACTTACAAGGGTGTGTATATATTTGCACCGATTTCAAGCACATCATCAAATCTGTATATATTGAAATTTAAAAAGAAAAAAAAGTAAAACAATACAAAATTCAGCAACTACCATTTTTTAAAAGAGCCTCCAATGCTTATCTCCAGTCTTTATGGATAGTACAAATTTGGATCTTTGATGTCCCATCTATTTGTAATAGTTCTTGGCAAACACTAACAAACCACATGACAAGTGTGTCAGCCACCATGGAAATGCACAGATTCTAGAAGATGAGTTTGGGTCACATGTGTTATTTTCACGATGTCCATGCTTTATTTTCTTACTCCGTAACAAGATGGCCACAAAGTCACCTAACAACTAGAAAAGCTGTTAGTTTGTATCTTTATGCTCAACTGGATTTCTTCACTGTTTGACATCTTGTTGAGAGAAATAAAAGCTTTGGATTTTATTCCAGCATGTGTTTAGAGGTGCATTTGTCAGTCCTATACTGCTTCTGTTTTGGTAGAGAGGTTTTCTTCATTTGGCTGACAACTCCCATTTTGCTGTACTTTGTTTTCCTCAGTCCTTGGTGCATCCTTGTCATCTACTTCTTTGCCCACGCTTGAATCTGGTTCTTTATTGTGTTCCTTCTCCTAAAATGAATATTAAGCCACACATTTAATATTTTTCTCAAGAGTTACATACTATTACATCTGGTTATGGCTAAAATACATACTTCTGTCAACTTAGTACAAGTAGGTATTTTCTCTCATTACCTTATCATATAAATAAGGTATGCAAACATGTATCAGTATGTCCTCTGTACTTCTCATAAAAGATGGAAATTGTAAATTAAATTAGAATAAAACAATCAAAAAGAAAGCCTAAGAAGTGTTCAATAAATGTTACTGAACTGAAAAAGTGGGACTATCTGCTGAAAGAGTTGAATAGCTCCCAAAGATGCCAGGATAGATTTGTAATCTGGATACCAAAGAAGCAGAATTCAGAGGATGTAGAATAAGGAATCACTACTCGTCCTAGCAAAGACTGCTCAAGAACAATTCTGCCCTCAGCTTAAAGGAGAATTAAATGAGAACATATGGAAAAATGCCTGACACACAGTAATGCTCAAGAGACACTATCAATGTTACTGACGATGATGATAAACCCCTACCAATATGAGAGTAAATAAAATTAAAAGATGAAAGCTCCAGAACTCATAATTGATTTCCAAATACAAATACACTTACTGGAATAACAGAGCAATTAATGTAATTTATAAGTAGTTAAATATTTATCCCCAAAAACACCCTTACTTGGTGGAATTTGGTTTTCCATTATTATTCTAATTCAACAAACCTACTAATTTCAGTATATGTTACAAAACCAATGACGGAAAAAAAAAGGGGAGCGCCTGGGTGGCTCAGTCATTAAGCATCTGCCTTCGGCTCAGGTCAGGATCCCAGGGTCCCGCGATCGAGCCCCGCATCAGGCTCCCTGCTCATCGGGAAGTCTGCTTCTCCCTCTCCCACTCCCCCTGCTTGTGTTCCCTCTTTCACTGTGTCTCGCTCTGTCAAATAAACAAATAAAATCTTTAAAAAAAATAAAAATAAATAAATCTAGTTCTATGTAAAAAAGAATCTCAATTATTAATTTTTTAAAGCCTAAACAACAAATGACTGCAACTTACCTTAAGTGAAGTATTGTTCTTCTCCAACTTTTCCTTTCCATCTCGGTCATGAGAACTCTTTCTTGTAGAGCTTGAACGTTCTCTCTCTCTTCTTTCACTAATGTGGTCCCTTTCTTTTTCTCTCTTTTTATCCTTCTTATTTCTGCTATAAGAACAGTAATAATATGCCAGTTAACTTCTAAGAAATTAAAGACCTACGTTGTTGACAAAACAGTCTTATCTAACACTAATGCAAATGTAATCTGATTTGACCAAGTAACATAAACAGTCCTAGAGCCCCACCTGCTCCACCCTATACCCCAATTACTTTTTTAAAGATGCCCAAGTCTTTTTTTGCAGAAGCCACCATGTGTTCACATAAAACACAATTTGGTATTTTCAATTTATTTATCAATCTCAACTGTAATGAGATTAAAATAAAACCAAATATATGGGCTTTTTACCCACCTTTTCAAAGCAAAAAATGAATAAGCAGAAAGAAATGAAAAGGATAAAGAATTAGAGGTGGTTCCGGGGAGGACTGAATGACTGAGTACCAGCAAAACTTGAATTTCAAATAACCCGTGCTACTGCCCTTGTCATTCACCATTACAAACAAGTCACACCAATTCAAGATCAAAAGCTACATGAACAAGTTCCACTGATAACAAAATACCTTTAGAATTAGAGGGAAAAAACAATGCATTTCTGATCAGAAGCATAAGCTGCCTTTCTACTTTAAAAAGTTAGCCTTAACATGGAATTCTAGGCTTTTTTCTCTTAATAATGGATAATTCAAAAATAAAGACAAAGACCAAGAAAACAAATAAAGACATTGAGCAAACAGACCTAAGTACATATGAAAATTTAGTATAACAAAGGTGGCATCTCAAATCATTGAGGAAAAGATGACCTTTTATAAATAAAAGGTATGGAGACAAGTGGATTATTATTTGGTAAGTGATAAAACTTGATCAATATCTCATATCTCATTCCACAATATATAAATAAGTCCAAATGGATGAGAGACCTAAATTCTTAAAATAAAATACAAGTGCTAAAAGAAAACATGGGTAAATTTCCTTACTATCTGGGTTTTGAAAAGAAAGATTTTTTAACCCAACTAAGAATCAGGTACAATAAAAAACTGATAAATTTGCCTACATAAGCCTTGCAAGGAAAAAAAAAAGGCATTACCATATTCAAAAGAAAAATGACATATTTGCAACATATGTGTGCATCTTTCTACATAATTTTTAAATGTCAAGGGAACAGTCACATCAAACTGAGTAAAATTCTTAGGAATAAATTTAACCAAGGAGGCAAAAAATTTGCTGAAAAAGATGAAGACAAATAAATAGAAAGACATCCACGTTTATGGATTGGAAGACTTAAATATTGTTAAAATGGCAATACTGTCCAAAGCCATCTAGAGATTGAATGCAACCCCTATCAAAATCCCACTGTTATTATTGCAGAAATACAAAACTCATCCTAAAATGCATATAGAATCTTGAAGGATATCAAACAGCCAAAACAATCTTAAAAAGAACAAAGTTTGAAGGCACAGCATTCCCAATTTCAAAACTTACTTAGGTACAGTACTCAAAAACAGCACAGTATTACATAAAGAAAGAAAATAAACCAGTGGAATAGACCAGAAGACCCAGAAATAAACCCCCATATATATGATTCAAACGATTTCTGACAAGGATGCCATGACCCATTCAATGGGGAAAGGACAATCTTTTCAACAAACTGACACTGGGAAAACGATATCCACACACACAAGAATGAAGTTGGACCATTATCTTATACCATGTTAAAAAGTTAACTCAAAATGGATCAAAAATCTAAATATATATGCTAAAGCCATAAAATTCTTAGAAGAAAACACAGGAGAAAATCTTCATGACATTGCATTTGGCAACGTTTTCTTGGATATGACACCAAAAGCACAGGCATCAAAAGGAAAAAATAGATAAATCTGACTTCATCACAAGTAAGAACTTTTGTGCACCAAAGAGTACTATATCAAGAAAGTAAGAAGCCAACCCACAAGAGAGATATCTGCAAATCATGTCTCTGGCACGAGATTAATATACAGAATTTAAAGAACTCTTACAAACAACTTAAAATACAAAAATAACCCAATTTGGAAATAGGCAAGAAACTTAAAAAGACGTGTCCCCTAAGATATACAATCAATAAAGCACACAAAAAGATGCTCAATATCACTATTCGTTAGAAAAACGCAAATCAAAACCACAATGAGATACCACTACGCACTCAACAGAATGGCTATAATCAGAGGCAGACGATAACAAGTGATGGTGAGCATGTGGAAAAATTGGGAGTTCTAGCACAACGCTAGTGGGAAGGAAGAATGTCAAAGGTGCTTGGGAAAAGTTTGGCAGTTTCTAAAAAGATTAAGAGAGAGGCACCTGGCTGGTTCTGTTGGTGGAGCAGGGGACTCTTGGTCTCAGGGCTATGAGTTTGAGTGAGTAATAGAGATTACTTAGAAAATTAATTAATTAATTAATTAGATTCACTGCTCAGCATACTGATCAAAAAAAAAAGATAGTACCAGAGGACTCAGCAATTACCACTCCTTGGGCACATGCCCCAGAGAAATGAAAACACGTGTCCACACAAAAACCTGTACATGAATGTTCATAAAAGTACTACACATAATACCTAAAAAATGGAAAAATACTAAAAGTTCATTAACTAATGAATGGGTAAATAAAAGATGGTTTTATCCACTCAATAGAATATTATTCACACAAGGAATCAGGTACTGATACATGCTACAACATGAACCTTGAAAACATTACATTTAGTCAAAGAAGCCAGATACAAAACACTATGCATACTGCATGAGTTTACACATGAATGTCCGGAACAGGCAAATCCACAGACAGTAAGTTAGACTAGTGGCTTCCAGGAGCAGGGGGGAGTAACTGCTTATGGGTACAGGTTTTCAAGTGAAAAAGATGTTCTGGAATTAAGTAGCAGTGATGGTTGACAATACTGTGAACCTAACTAAAGACCAGTGAATTGCACGTTTAAAGTGAATTTTATGACATGTGGATTATTTCTCAATTAAAAAAAAAAAACAACCAAGGGACGCCTGGGTGGCTCAGTCGTTAAGCATCTGCCTTCAGCTCAGGTCATGATCCCAGGGTCCTGGGACTGAGGTCCACACTGGGCTCCCTGCTCTGCAGGAAGCCTGCTTCTCCCTCTCCCACTCCCCCTGCTTGTGTTCCCTCTCTCGCTGTCTCTCTGTCAAATAAATAAATAACATCTTTTAAATAAATAAACCAACCAACCCAAGGTGTAGGTGGGGCTAGGTACAGTCACACACAAACACACACACACACACACACACACACACACACACACACAGTATACATAAAGCATGCTCTCTTTTGTGAAGGAAGGAGGAGATATTCTAATCAATGTATCTGCTAAGTTTTGCAAAAAGAAACACAGGAAGGATAAAAACGATCACTTACAGAGGGTGGATGGGGAGCAACGCAGAAGGAATAGGCAAGAAGTGACTTTGTGAACACATCTTTTTATCTGAGTTCCTAACTGTGAAAAGTTTTTAACTTTCATAAGTAATAAAAATATATATGCGGCCCACAAGTACAGTATCGTATGCCTTCCATTATTTTCACCTCAAAACAATAACCCACAAGCAAATAAACATGAAACCCCTGCTGAGAAACATGCTCCTCTTTACACTCAGGCAAAGGTTTTTGTAAATTTCTTTTCTATACCTAGAAAACCACATGAAAAACTATGACCAGGGCGCCTGGGTGGCTCAGTTGGTTAAGCGACTGCCTTCGGCTCGGGTCATGATCCCGGAGTCCCGGGATCGAGTCCCACATCGGGCTCCCTGCTCGGCAGGGAGTCTGCTCCTCCCTCTGACCCTCTTCCCTCTCGTGCTCTCTATCTCTCATTCTCTCTCTCTCAAATAAATAAATAAAATCTTTAAAAAAAAAAAAAAAAAGAAAAACTATGACCAGTCATTAAGGTGGTGGAATGAAAAATAAATACACAGAATGCAATAATCTTCCTTTGCAGCACAAACCCAACCTCCAATGAGAGGATACAATGAAAGAAAAGACCTCATTAACAAGAACAACAACAACAACAAAATACCTAGGAATAAACTTAGAAGATGCATAAAATCTGTACAAAACAAGCACTGAAACATTCCTAAAGAACACTATGGATGGTTTAAAGAAATAAAAAAGAGACTGGATAGAAAGACTCATCATCATAAAGCTTTATTAATAAAATCTATTTAATCAATTTCCCCTAAGTTAATTAATAAATTTAATGCAACTGTAATACAAATCATCACCAGATTTTATTTCTAAAACCTGAACAACTGACTCTTATTTTCAAATGGAAAAATAAACAGGCCAGAATGGTCAGAAATGCTCAAAAAACAGCAGCGGAAGTGTGGGAGAGGATCAGCCTTACTAAATGTTAAAAAAATACTACACAATTTGAATAATAAAAAGCATGGAGCATTGGTACACGAATCATCAGTCAAACCAACCCAGCAGCAGTGAAGGCCCAGAAATAGACCCAAACACAAAAAGAAATATTTAGTACCGGAAAAGGCAATATTAATATAAGAAATCAATGTTAGAAAAATTGAGTTTTTAATAAATGATACTGATCAAAAGAAAAGCATATAGAAAAATAAAATTGGACCCACATGCCATACTGTAACATAAGGATGAACTCCTAATGGATCAAAGATTTTAATGCAGTAAGTAAAACCATAGAAGTATAAGAAGAAACAAGGGGGGCATTCTATTATAATCTTGGAATAGAAAAGACCTTTCTAACTTTATATGACTCAAAATCCAGAAGTCATTAAAGAAAAAATTTGAGGGGTGCGTGGCTGGCTCAGTCAGTAGAGCATGTGACCCTCAATCTCAGGGTTTTGAGTTTGAGCTCCACACTGGGTGTAAAGAAAAAAAAAGAAAGAAAAATTTTGGGAAATTATAAAAAAAAAAAAAAAATCAAAATCCTTTGTAAAATCAAGTCTCATAATATTTTCTGAAAAGAAACAACAAAGTAGGAATGATACCTAGTATCAAATCACTAAAGAATAATCTCCCTAATACAAAGACGCCTGGCTGGCTCAGAAGAGCATGCTACTCCTGATCTCAGGGTCGTTGAGTTCGAGCACCATGTTGGGGGTAGTGTTTACTAAAAAACAAAAAACAAACAAAAACAAAAACAAAAAAACAAACCTTAAAAAAAAAAAATCACTCTAATACAAAAAGAACCCCTGGAAATAAAAAAAAAACAAACAAAAAGCAGAGCCCACCAAAAAAAAAATGGGCAAAGCATACCAACAACTCACAGAAAAGGAAATACAAATGGCCTTCAAATATATGAAAAGGTCACCTTCACTCCTAAGAGAAATGCAACTAAAATTACTATATACTGATACCATTTCTCATCTATCAGACAGACAAAAATCCACGACTGCAGTAACATAATATGGTGTAGCTGACAGAAAACACTCTCATACACACCGGCTGAAGTGCAAATTGCTGCCAATCTTTATGGAGGGCAATAAAGAAACACGTCTCAAAATTATAAACACACTCTGACACAATACCACTTTTGGAATTTTCCCACACACCTGCACACAACAAAGTTAAGTCCAAAGCTATTCATTACAGTATGGTCTAATTTATAATAGGAAAATTAAGCAAACCCATCCTACTGCGGGCTGGTTAAATAAACCAAGGTAGTGCCACACAATGGAAGTCCATGCAGTTCTAAAAAAAGAATGAAGCGGCACTCGCTGATGAATATGTAAAGCTCTCCGGGCAGTTGGGTGACAAAAAGCAAGGGCACAACAGTGTGTTTTTTGTGCTACCTTTTGCATAAGAAATATGAAAAGAAACTATAAATTTTGAGCTCGTGTATCTCTACACAAAACTGGAAGGGTATGCAATACAAAAAAGCGAAGTCACTACTTATGGACACAGAGGAGATGAGTGCATAGGTGAAGACCTACCGAGTTATAACTTTTTATACTGTTGGGATTTCTGAAACATGCAAATGTTTAACATATTACTCATTTAAAATATAAAGTTTAAAAATAGATCCAAAAGAAGATTTTTCTTCCCCCGCTCCATCTTTGGATTTAGCACACACTTTCAACCTACCTCCTAGGGGATGGAGATCTAGAAGATTTCCTTTTTATAGTTTTTGATGTTCTTGGTGATCTGGAAGAACTCCTGCTCCTCCTCCTACGCCTTTCCCTGAAAGTCAAAAATATATCATTTAAAAATACAGCAATTTTAATAAAGGGCAATTCAAATACACAAAAGCAAAAAGGTCCTTAATGCTCTCAAGTTAACAGTAGTCTTTCAAAGACCAGTTTAAACTCATGTCCTTTAAGAACGTGTTCTATTATCTAATATTAGTGCAGGTCAAATTTTGAACCATAAATTTTACATGAAAATATGTTCTGAGATTTCGTAACAGAAAAGGACGAAGATTCCTTTTCATCCGGCTTATCTGAGTAAGAACTTCCTGAATAGAAAAAATATTAATGGATATTTCAGATTCTCTCAAGTTAAGTATGTTCTTCTCCAGCATCTAAAACATGTTTTGCTTATCCAGATCCTTTGTCCTGTATCTAGCTCCTTGCTGCCCCACTGTGGATTATTTTATAAAAGATTAAGGTGGCTTGCAAAATGTGAACTTTACAAATCCAAGCATTCAGAATGTCTCTAAAAAAGCATTTACATTAATCTATTTTACAGAGAAATTGTTTTACCCTTCAACTTCCTAACATTTTATTGTTCTATTCATTTAAAACCGAGTACACAAGTTGCTTAGAAGTAAAAGAGTTAAAACCTGGGCCTTAAATATGAGATAAAAAAATAACTACTGAATTAACAGTGTTTACTATTATTAAAAATGATTTTCTTTAACATGTTAGCAAATGATGCATACTCAAAATTACTTCATTTATAAGCATGGTCAACTGAGAAACAATGAATTTCAAGATGTCCATAACTCAGGGGATGACGCAGGAGGACATACTTACTATGATTAATGTGTCCCATGAACTCACAAGGAGCTCTAATAATTAGTGGCCATATAGGTGAAAGAACCAAATCCCCTAGAATCCAAGTTCTCCATACCACCTCAGTAAGAATATTCTAGGCTAAAGAAGCATTTTGCCTACATTTTTCATTGTAAAATAAATATTAGATAATGCTCAGATGTGGTAGATACAGTATATGTTAAGACCAAATTAGCCAAGAACTTTGAAAATACCATCAACTCCAATTTTACCTAAAGCTCTCTCCTCCATTACCCAATTTTATTTCCAAGACACCCCAAAATTATAGTTCCTGACTAATGTGAAAATAGGTGAAGATATTCCATTCAGTCAATGCCATTCTGTAACAGCTCAGCATAAGTACCATAGATACTTATTTCATAGCATGAGAATATCATTTTAACTTTGTTCAGGAAGCACTATGTACAGGTGGACATCTGATAACTAACAACTGATGATAATGAGCACTAAGGCTGGATAGACAGCAATCTAGAACGTCAATTAGTTGAGAAAGAGGCAGTCGGGGTAGTATATGGAACTGTAGTTGGTTAGACTTAGATTTAAATTTTAGTTCCATACCTTACCAGATGCATGACTAAGGTCATATTACTTAATCTGAGTTTCAGTTTTTCCAACTGGAAAATGGAGTTAATAACTCAATTTGATAGTGTTGTTATGAGGATTTAGGATGATACCTATAAAGTACCACGCACAGTCTCTTGCACATACCTGGTGTCAATATTTTCTCCTTTCTCCTCACTAGCTTTATTGCTAGTTACTGTAAACACTCAAAGTTGCTTAAATATCAAAATTTTCTTTAAAAATGTAGATTGGGGGCACCTGGGTGGTTCAGTCGGTTAAGCATCTGCCTTCGGCTCAGATCACAATCCCAGGGTCTTGGGATTGAGTCCCACATCGAGTTCCCCGCTCAGCGGGGAGTCTGCTTCTCTCTCTCCTTCTACCCTTCCACCCCTGCCTGCTCTCTCTCTCTCAAATAAATAAAATCTTTAAAAAAATAAATAAAATAAAATAAAAATGTAGATTTAGAGGATGATGTTGAAAATAAAAATACCAAGTACTCTATTTTTCTGAGCCATTAAAATGTTTCCTGTTAACTAAACAAATCAGAGCACATGAAAAACAGAAAAATACTAAAAGATGACAAATTTTAACTCTTCACCAAGCTCTTATGAAAGCACAAAACATGCCAAACTTCAGAACCTTTAGAAACTAACATTAGTCAGCATTTCTTCCCGAGGCCCCAGAGGTTAGTTAAGAATCTATTTAGGAATGAATGTAAACATCTGAACTTCCTTAAATGTCAAGCAACTTAAAATGGCCCCCCCAAAAATTAAACATTTCAAAGTCATCCAAAAAGTAAATTCAACTGAATTTAAAAGGAATCAAAACATTGTTTTCTGTTATGAAGGGCAATAACTAAATGATCACATAAACACAAAGGAAGGTGTGACAGACAATAAAATCACTGTGCAGTAAAGGAACAGGCTTGCAAGGCTTGACTGATGTCCACAGCAATGAGACTAACTTAATTCTTCAGTTTCCGGTTCAGTGTGCTGAAATATGGTAGTGATCTGTTTATTTTAAGCCCCAGTTAAACTACACTGTTGTTTTCAACTTTATGCTTCTGCAGCAGTTTCTTAAAACAGGTACCAAGTACTGATTAGAGAATTCTCAAACTTAATCTCTTAGAAAGAAGAGAAAGAGCTACCATATTTCTAATATGGAAGTGTGGAGCAGATGGAAAACTTCCCGAAAGCTATGGTATTATCATACTTTGAAACCATGATAATAATAGTCTTCTCACAGACTTACTGTGAGGAATAAGATTAGTCATGAAAAACCGTGCAGAGACAAAACCTGGCATTTGGTAAAACATTCAATAAACGCCTGCAATTATCTTGTAGTACCTAACCAAAGACTGGTATTAAGAACAAGCTATTGGGGCGCCTGGGTGGCTCAGTCAGTTAAGCGTCTGCCTTCGGCTCAGGTCATGATCCCAGGCCCAGGGTCCTGGGATCAAGCCCCGCATCGGGCTCCCTGCTCGGCGGGAAGCCTGCTTCTCCCTCTCCCACTCCCCCTGCTTGTGTTCCCTCTCTCGCTGTGTCTCTCTCTGTCAAATAAATAAAATCTTAAACAAACAAAAATTGACAGATCAAGGAAAACCAAAATTTAAATGTCATGCACTCAACAAATAGAGCAGTAAAAATCACTTAAATGAAATTTTAATAAACATTCTGCATATTAAAATTTACCAAGAGGTCAATTCTTCCATTTAAAAAAAAAAAAAGAAGAAGAAAAGAAAAACTTGTCCTTGCCCTCTCATCCTCCAAGAAAATAAGCAGCAGCAGCCACTGCCGGCACCAGGAATTACAAAGGATAGTTAAAAGTTTTCAAATAACTTTGCCCACTTATCATCTCTTCCCCTTCACAGGTTCAATACTGCAGCAAGCACTCTACTAAGAGAAATGTTTCTTCTGCTATCAGAGCGCAATGATCCGGTTATTACTGTATTGTTTCCACCTACGTAGCATCATCTCTTCCTTCTTGGTTAAAATTTACATTTTCATTTGTCATCAGCAAACCCCCTGGTAGAAATTTTAAGCATTATCAAACCTGCTGGAACTACGAGATCTTCTTGACGCATTGTAACTCCGGGGCGGTGTTCTGGATTTTTTATCCTTCCTTCTTTTCTCCTCTATCTCTCTCGATCTGTCCTTGTCCTGTTCCTTCTCCTTGTCTCGCTCCTTGTCATGTTCTTTTTCCCGCTCTCGCTCTCTGTCCTTTTCCTTGTCTTTTTCCCGGTCCTTTTCCCGTTCTTTATCCCGGTCTTTCTCTTTGTTTTTACCCCGTTCCTTTTCTTTTTCACGTTCTTTCTCCCTGTCTCTCTCTTTTTCCCTTTCCTTTTCTCTATCTTTTTCTTTCACTTTTTCCTTTTCCTTGATCTTTTCTCGGGTGTCTTTTCTCTTGTCCCTTTAAAAACAAAAATAAATAAATAAATTCACAACTAAAATTATTCTACTCCCCAAAAAGGACCTCCCTCTCGTTCCTCAACAATTATCAACCCAAAACAATTTATACCAGTTTATAATACATTACATGGTAATCTCTATGTAACCCAGGTGTACATGAAGCTGTTAGATAAAGAGTTACCCGGTTTAATTATGTATTTGAGAAACCTCATGAGTCATTCTAATCATCAGATTCAAATCAATGGCAATCAATATTAATCACTACTAAAACAATCAGAAAAAAGTTTACTGTCTCTCATTAAAAACCTAAACCATAGTAATTTTTTAATAAGTGAAGCTACGAGAAAAATTACCACTAATTTCCCCAAACTCACCGTGAACGCGAACGACTCCTTGACTTCCGTCTCTCCCTTGATTTAGAGCGTTTTTTATGTGGGCTCTTAGATCTACGTCTGTCTTTTTGTCTTGAACGTGATCTATTATGGGATCTACTCCTAAAGAAAAACAAGTTGTTAGAATGTCAAAACTTACTCTTAAAATTTCACTTTTTAAAAATGTAAGATGTCTTTCAAGTGAGAAAAATTTAAAACCTATTCCAACATTCCTTTCCATATTTTGGAATTCTCTATTACATAACGCCTCAGATTATTTGCAGTAATTTATTTATTGGCAACTTTACCAAACAGTTCATTTTCAGAACACAAAGAGAAAGAAATTATTTTCTATGTCAGACTGAAGCTATTATTTTCAAGTGTGGCTTTCTTGTCTAATTATTATATGCCTGTTACTATATGAGTTCTCCCACAGAACAAGTTTGTATACCATAAATTAAATTTAACTCTTGACTTGCATGTAATTGCTTGTGGTTATACTTTCACAAGAAATAGTGGTTTTCTGGCTCAAGAGTTTCTCTAACTGGCTGTGTGATGTCTGTCATAACATATATTAAGAATGTATAAGGAAGCACAGTACTAATTACGCTGCTAGTGTGACAAGAAAATAAACATTACTCATGAGTTGAAGCTATAGATAATTAAATGTTGGATTTGCAAGACCTCTTGATTTTATAACTATATAAACATAGCTATTAAAAGAAACTTTTTAAAGATTTTATATATTTGAGAGTGTGAGCATGATCAGGGGGAGGGAAGGGCAGAGGAGAGGGAGGAGACTCCCTGCTGAGCAGGGAGCTCAACACGGGGCTGGATCCCAGAACTCTGGAATCATAACCTGAGTCAAAGGCAGACGCTTAACCGACTGAGCCACCCAGGTGCTCCCTAAAAAAAACCTTTATTACTGGAATTCTTGCGGGAAAAATAACGATTACTCCAATTCTGAAATTCTCTAGGCTCCTTATTCCCACTGAAATAATGCTTATATAATGTGATTTTTATCCTAGTAACTATTTATTAAAATATAACAAAACTGAATGCACACAAGTAACAAAATGAGGAGACTCACCAGCTCTGGAGTGAAACAATCTGGCTCTGACACTCAGCTCTGCTACATACTAGCTTTGCGAACTCTGGTTACTCACTTACCCTAAGCCTAGTTTCTTCATCTACAAAGTTGGAGAATCATACCTACATCACCTACGCCTGTAATGAGGACTAAATCAGATGACACATGAAAGACTGCCTAGCAGTCTCGGGCACAGAATAAATGTTCAAAATAATTCTTAACTCTCAAGATCATCAGCATTAACAATTAACATAAATGAAAACTTTAAGTTACAGCTTTATTTATTCCAAGGAGATCAAATGAACTTCCACAAGTATGCTTTATATAATTAAAATTCATCTTGATAGTCATGTTTTCATGAGTTAAGTTAAAACAAAGATCTATAAAAGAAATACATACAGTTAAATTCTTGTGGTATGCTAAGCCAGAAAAATCTTGAGACAATTTTCAATTAATAATGAAATCCTGTTTTTTTAAATACACTTTCCAGTTAGTTAAAATGTTTCCCAACAGCTAATTTTCAACTGAACCACTCATCTATTTTATGGCTTTAAAAATTATACATTTATCTTCATACCCTATTTTCAATACAAGAAGATAAGCCACAGTTTGTTGAAATCTTTACTACTAATAACCCAAGAGACAATCGGGCAAGTGGTAGGTAAAAGCAAAACTGCAAAACTTAAGACATTTTAAATCCATTTACAGACATCCACATAAGGGGAATGTTTTATAAGGCCTTTGCTTCTACGCACTTAATAGGAAGTCTTTACATTTCTGTTCTAGTTAACCTTGCTAAAAATATACATAGTAATTTTGTTTTCCTCAAACACTGCTTTCCAACCTTAATTAAACAAAGAAACACCTTTTAAAAAAGTAAGTGTAGCTTTAGGAAGTAAGAATTAATTTTAAAAACACTGATCACTTGGCTTCCCACCTTACCCCTACAGGTCCTCAGAGTTTGGAAGTCCCAAGTGTAATTACTGTATTTTAATTCTGACATTAAATATTTTCATGTCCCTATTTCACCCACTAGTCACCTCCAAACAAGTGTTCTGATTAGGAATACTAAAAGCTTCAAGTTAAGAGCAAATCTAATCCAACCAAACAGAAAGACTTGAGTTATCATTAGGAGATCTCAATTCAGCATAATGTGCAAAATCACATTTATAAATTAAACTGTACATACAGGGCAACTTACCATCATGTCTCATCAAAGTTCAACTCTAAGTCTGCTTAATTAAAATATTATAAAATGTCTTATAGTTCCCATGCTGGTCTGTCAAGGTTACTTAGCTTTAAAATATAATACTTACAGTACTACCCACCTTTTCTAACACTGTCCTTTGAAAAAAACACATATAAAATTTTGAACAAAGTCAAAATACATCTCCCTGGTCCTAGCCAAGATCACAGTGACAAGAAACCCCTTCCTGCCTCCTACTATACAAGGGGAAGGAACAAGGAAAGGATAGGGGCTGGAGGGAGGTTCCAGAAGCATCTGAGAATGCTGAGAAAGTAGAATAGGGTGGGCCTTCAAGAGCGAAGGCTCCTGCAACTCGTACTCCTGCTAATAAGTCTAATGGGGCAGAGCCAGAGCTGAGGGTATCAAATCCCACTAGCAGGGGAAGCCAAGAAATGCCTGCCATCCCCCTCCCCTACCAGGGAAGATCCTTCCATACCAAGATTTTTAAGTCAAATGTTTTCAGTTAAGGGACTTTTTTTTTTTTTCCCTTAAAAAGAACCTTTCTTCTTTTGTATTTCTTTATGAACTCACTAAAGGCTGTATGTGTTTCTGTACATGTATAAAAATAGTATAAATAAAGTATAGTAAATAGTATAAATTTACACACTACATAAATATGACAGTGTTACAAGACAGATAGGTATGCCAAAAGCAAGTAATTTCCAATGCTACATAGTTAGACAAACCTACAGGAAAACATTCTCATGAATTAAGAACGGTAATTAACAAATTTCATTTTAGACTGAAAAACCCTTCCCCTACTAACCCCTAGAAGGGGAAAATATCCAAATATACCTAAAATGATAAAAGCAAGTACCTTAAAGCAGAGAGTTAAATAAATCTGCTCCAACAGATAAATCTTCACAGAGATTATCAAGGAAACAATGATGTTAATCAAGTTTTGCTTTTTTCCAGCCTTATAAAACCACTAAGGTAGGATATTTGGAGCACGGCTCTTGTAATCAACACAAAATGAAATTCGGGTCATTGGTCTTTTTCCTCCTCAGAAAAGAAGTAATTACTCTTGAGCTCAATTTTATATTTCCTTTATCTCCTTTACGTTCACCACATCCTGTCAACCTGTAGAAATGTCCACAATCTAGTGCCACTGCTTCTATACCACTTTCCTTCTCCAGCACTGGCTTCTGTTGCTCTACGTATGCCTTGTACATGCAACAACTTCCTTCACTTGGACCTGAACTTGCCTTACTGGAAGCCCTTGAAGGGAGACAGTAAAACTAAATCACAAAAGAGACCTTACAAACGAAGAATAATGTAAAAGTATACACCTTGATATCACAGAAAAACAGAGTAAACCGAGCCTGCTGATGAGGTTCAACATACAGCACACCGGTTCCCTTTTCCCCTCCTCTCAAACCTTCCTCCTTCTCCAATACCACCACACACACTGTGCACACACACGCACACACACTTTTCTCTACATCTTCTCTTTAGACCTACGTGTGTACATATTAACACGCAATTGGGACCCACTATATACATTCTCACATTTCAGTAACACCTCCCACATCTTAAAGAAGACAAAATTTTTCACTTTAAACACGATTCTTAGGGCATTTCCAAATCAAAATGCTGTTGCAAGTTCACATTTTGAGGTCCACTTCAGACTACGTACAACACAACAGATTTTTTATTTATCATTATTTTTTAGATTTTATTTATTTGACACAGAGAGAGCATAAGCAGGGGGAGTGGGAGAGGGAGAAGCAGGCTCCCCACCTGGGCAGGGAGCCCAGTGTGGGGCTCGATCCCAGGACCCTGAGCCGAATGCAGACACACTTAACCGGCTGAGCCACCCAGGCGCCCCATTTTTTTTTTTTAAATTAAAATTACAGAACTATGTTCCAAAGTAAGATAAACAGAACAGAAACAGAGCTTAAGCATAATAAAATAGCTGGAACTAAAGCTACAAAGTTACTGCTGTGTTTCAGGTCCCAAAGTGGGTGCAGGAAGCTCTTATTATCAAGAATACCAAAGATTTAAAGCACCTCATTTGACTCATGGAACTAGAGATAGGTAGGTACTGGAATCCAAGATATGAGGTGCTACTCCCCCAAGCCTTGAGTAGCCGGGGGGCAGGGGGGAGGCACAGTGAGCCACAACAATAGTTCAGCATCACCATACATATATATTCCCTTTTCTCAAGAAAAAGAATGAAAAGTTTCTGCCAGTCCTCTATAAAGAATAGTTTATTCTTAGAAAAATCAGGAATAGAGCACCTAAAGAGAGAAAACCAACTTCTGAAACAGAAAATTGAGATAATAAAAATTATGTATCAATTAGATAAAATTTCATTCTTAACTACACTATTATAATTAAAGCAACATTTAATGATAAGCATAATTCCTGGTGAGCTCCACTGAAATTTCTAAATTCTGATACATAAACAAAAACTCAGAAAATCTTAACTATTTTAAATACCAGACCAAAAAAATTTTAAATATGATAGCAGAAATTCTCACCTGTGTTTTGACTGTGATCTTTTTCGTCTAGAATGGGATTTTGAGCTAGACCTGGATTTTGAACGAGTGTGGGAACGAGATCGACCGCCTTTTCTTTCATTGCTCTTTCCAGACTCTGGGAGGAAAAAACCACTTTGCAGTGTAAGCTCAGAACAATTAAAGATCCCAGTTAATAATCAGGCACAAGTGGAATGTACCACATATAGTGCAAGGGGCCTACTCTCTGTACATCCTCCTCCTGTGCAATTATCCTTCAGAAACATCCAAGAAAGTCATTGCATAAACTCGTTGAGTGCAGCCACCCTGCAGCAGTACATATAAACCAGATGATTATAAACAGCTGTTCGTAATATTTTGTTGCTGCCATAATGTACGATTATAACATGTCTGTAATTCCTATGACAGTGATTTTAAATCTTCTCTCCATTTATTTTGCTAGCAGTGAAGCTTAAATTCTGAGTGCTAATGTAGAAAATCTGCTCAACTGTAAACCACCTAGACATTTTTAGATTGGATTTTTAACTTTTCATAAGCAACATAAAAGTCTGAATAGGTGTTCCTTTACCTTGCTAAAACAGCCTGTATTTTGCCAATCATGGGCTCTCTTTCCTATTTTTAAAATGAGAACTGTGAAGGAAAGTGAACCTGCTTGATTATAACCTTTTGATTATATTAATTCTTACTTTTAGCCTCACAGTAACATTTATACTTTGCTTTAAGCCAATCACTTGTGAGCACTGACTCTGCTACAAAAACATACAGATCTGATTAGCTCAAGCTAATGTGCAATTCAGTATCATAGGAAAACACAACATTTGTGCTAACCAGTTCTTTGACCTTTGACACTAGTAAGTCACTTACTCTTTCTCGAGTTTCAGTCTTCTTGTTTGTAACATGGAGGGACTAAACAAGATAATTTCTAAAATTCCTTCCAGTTCTATGGTTCTATGATCTTAAACTGCAACCTATGTAACAACACTGTGGCCTTACCTGGTTCAATGGCTGCTGAGATAAAGGACTGAGCCTCTCGTACTCGCTTCATTACTTCTTCTAACTCCTTAGCTGCAGCCTGAGGTGTCATCTCAGGGGGTTTTACTATTGCATTGTTGGAGTGATTAATTCTAAATTAAAAATATTAGCATATCACAAATACACACCATATTTTACAAAACATGAAACAAATGTTTATGATACACATATTTATAAATCTGAGGACATCTCGAAAGCACATTAAGAATGATACAGCTAAATACAGAATAATCAAAACCATGATTAATCTCATTATCACTCATCTTTATCTCTTGCTAACAGAGCCAAAAGCAAGGAAAAAAGAAAGAAAAAGTGAACCCTAGCTGACTCCTTAACAACTTGAATATACCAGGACAATTGCTTTTCCACACAACTTAGAATTATAATAAATTACATGCTGACACCAATATTAAAATGCATCATTTCTCATCTTGGATCATAAGATTATGTTGGTATCTCTGCACGCTGGGAGGATGCAGGAGAGGCTATATATGTGCACAATTTCAATCAACCTTGGACCATGGGTGAGTCAGATACAGTTTTGAATGTGGGAGGCACCTGATAAAACTCTTCCCTACTAGGTCAGAAGGGGTTTCTCTGATGCACATAAATGAATCTGGCGAGTCTCACTTCACCCCCTTCACACTGAGAAGACAAGCATTCACTAAAAAGATACTTTATCCTTTCACAGCTGAATCCTGATCAAGCTGTATAACTAAGGCAATTACCTATGAAATTTAGATAAAACTGCTGCCTCAATAATCTGCAAGAAACAGAATTTCTGGTCTTGAGAATGTAAAGTCTATACCAATTTTTCATTTTGCAAACAAGGATATGAGAAAGTATTAAAACTCAAATGACTGATTTAAAACACTTCTGGGTACTTAATATTATTTTCCTCCTGGCATTTTGGATTTATCAAAATTCTTATTACAGTATTATTCTAAGTTCATCTCATATGTTCAATTATCCATTAGTCTAGTCATAATGCAAACCCAATCTGCTTTATTAGAGCTTATGGGAAAAAAACCTATAATCATTATATAGAGTATATAAATAATGTTAATATCAAATTCAATCTTATAAAACAGAAAATGTTTTCAAATACAACTTTAAAGGCTAAAATGGTAACTCATGTATTTCATTTATACTTAACACAAAGTCTTCCTTTCCACAAATTGCCAATTACTATTAAAAAGAAAAAAAAAGCCTTAATTACATCAGAAATAAAAGTTTTTCCATTATCATTAAAATTTCTTTGTTTAGGGTTTCTTACTTCAGTGGCCTGTCTCCAAACATAACTCCATTAAAAGCAAGGGCCCTTGGTACAGAATTTTGGTCTGCAAATTCCACAAAAGCAAACCGAGTTGGCTGAGTCTCATCACCTGCCATCCGCACAAACTTCACTTCTCCAACTTGTTTAAAAAATTCAAGTAGTTGATCAGCTGTCGTTGTCTGAAGAAACAGAGTCACACTTTAATAAAGTAATTCTTTTTAAAAAAATTAGGTAAATATTACTTTATCAATCGATATGACTTTGAAGAAGGGGGAAAGAGTAAGAGGTCCTACCAACTCAGTTTTTTCTTAAATTAGTTACCTGGGAATTCAAATTGCCAACATAGACTGTTCTCCTAATTTCATCAATTTTGGAAGGATCCACATTTCCCATAAGTGGTGGCTGTGGTATTTCTCCAAGTGTTGCAATGTTGGGGTCTAGTGCTGCTGCTGGTATGGCTCCCAAACTGCTAAGGGAAACACCCAACTATATATTAAAAAAAAAGAAAGAAAGAAAGAAAGAAAGAAAGAACACATATTTTCTGTTAGTATCAAAGATTACAGTTCTTTAACCTTAAAAAGAAAATGATCAACTCAACAAGAATGGAAGGTGACTAGGGAGTCCCAACTTTAAGCAATGTATATGTCTGAATTATTGAGAAGGAGGTCACAGTAGTTCTGTGTGTAATTAGAAATACAACATAATTCTTAACTATCTGGGTATTTTAACTACTTTCAAACTTGAAACTAAAAATAAACAGTCAATTCTCAGCAGTTATTCACAACAGTTATGTCCTATAAAGTTGCTATATGAGTATTATGCCAATTTCACAGATAAAGAAGACCTACAGATATTAAATAATTTTCCCAAAGCTACTCAGCTACCAAGTGGTAAAAGCAAGGTACTACTATGCACAGACCAGAACTGAAACAGGGATAAAGTTTACCTAAGAAAAGAAACCTGAAAAGCTGAACTTACATATACTTTGATGGGAAAAGGACAAAACCTTTGAATGATCTTTTATAACATTACAAAATTCAGTTTTTAGTTCAAGCGTTAAAGAATATGTTTTTAATGTGAACTTAAACTAGGAAAGATAGAATGTCTCAAAATTTGAAAATAGAAGACTTTGCAGAACTAATGAGAAGACATTTCAAGGGGAAAACAGCTACAACTCAGGGTTGTGAGATGAGACCTGCATCAGGCTATGCGCTGGACATGGAGCCTGCTTAACATTCTCTCTCTACCCCTCCCAACCCCTCCCTCTCTCTCTCTCCCCTGCTCCAAAAAAAGAAAGAAAATTTTGAGCACTGACTATACAACGTTATGAAACTAAGATTAAACAAACACTATGTAAAAATACTTCCAAAAGGTAAAAACGTAAGTTGATGAAACAAGTATCAATTACAGGTGTCGTAACGGCCTGTGTGTGAAATTTTTAAAATGTCAAATTAGGGGCGCCTGGATGGCTCAGTCGTTAAGCCTCTGCCTTCAGTTCAGGTCACGATCCCAGGGTCCTGGGATCAAGCCCCACATCGGGCTCCCTGCTCGGTGGGAAGCCTGTTTCTCCCCCTCCCACCCCCCCCATAGTGTTCCCTCTCTGTCAAATAAATAAATAAAATCTTTAAATAAATAAATAAATAAAATGTCAAATTATGTCTTACCCTGCTTAAAGTCAATCAATGGCTTCTAATTACCTTTTGAATAAAATTCAAATTCCTTTCCATGGCCCAAAAGCCCTATAATCAGTATGCTGTCTATCCTTCAACTACACTGACTGTCATTCTGTACCTTGAAGACAAAGTTTTTCCCACCTTAGGGCTTTTGCTTGGCGTTCCTTCTGCCAAAAAACTCTTCCTCAGCTTCCGCCAGCCAAATCCTTCAAGCATCAGGTCACCCATCCCCTCCAAGAGGCTTTCCCTGACTTTATTTTTTTTTAAGATTTTATTTATTTATTTGACAGAGAGAGACACAGCGAGAGAGGGAACACAAGCAGGGGGAGTGGGAGAGGGAGAAGCAGGCTTCCCGCGGAGCAGGGAGCCTGATGAGGGGCTCGATCCCAGGACTCTGGGATCATGACCTGAGCCGAAGGCAGACGCCTAACGACTGAGCCACCCAGGAGCCCCTCCCTGACTTTATATAAAGCTTCACTTACTCTCTACCACATCACTTTTCTTCTTCATGGTATTATATAATCTGTGGTACCTTGCTACTAACATCTTGGATTTGTTGCTCAGCATTACCATTTCGAGTTATCATAGAGTTGTATAAAATATCTTAATTCAAAATGGGTGAGTGATCTCTGAATCAAGGCTACCACCCTCTAAGCCTAGTTTTTCTCCATGGTTTGCTTATGCATTGACACTCCTTTTTTCCCCCAACACCTTATCTTCTATGGTATTATAAGGTACACAGATGTTTGAGGGTCATTACATTAAATTTTTTTTTAAAGATTTTTATTTATTTCAGAGAGAGAGAGAGAGAAAGCAAGCAGGGGGAGCAGGAGAGAGGGAGAAGCAGGCTCCCTGCAGGAGAGAGGGAGAAGCAGGCTTCCTGCTGAGCAGGGAGCCTGATCCAGGGTCCGATCCCAGGACCTCAAGATCACGACCTACGCCAAAGGCAGATGCTTAACCAACTGAGCCACCCAGATGCCCCCATCAAATTTTTTCACTGTGCAAGAGATTATATATCTTTAAGTTAAATCACAAATATGACTCTTATTATTTATCAGTTTTGCATGGATTTAAAGCGTTGAGCAAGCCTTTCCAGGCACCCCCAGTTGTCAATCCCTTTGACCTGCAAATTTTCTCCACTGGGACATTATATATATACACATACACACACAAACACACACACACTTGGAATGGGCTTTTCCAAACCATCTAATCCATCTAATCTTTAAGTTTCTCAAACTTAAAAATCATTCAGCTCTTTTTTAGAAACTTTTCCCTGTCTCTTCTTTTTACTATACCCTTCTGCTACACCTATGCTATTTAATATGGCAGTCACTAATCCCATACAGCTATATGAATTTTAATTAAAATTCAGGGACTCATTTCAAGTGCTCAATAGGCACACGTTGCCAGTGGCTACCACACTCGATAGTACAGATACAGACATTTTCTGCACAGCAGAAAGTTCTATTGAATGCAAATGCTCTGTAACAATACAATTACCCTTCTTTTAATTAATCTACTTTCTAGCCCTGGTCTAAGAAATTTAAGTACTTAGTTACCCTTTTGGTCTTCGATGGGTTAAAGATGACCTAGGCTCCTGATCTAACACTTCTGACATAGAAACCATGGCCTCCCTGAAAACGAAATGTTCTAGGCAAAGTATGAGTAAGTACAAAAGCCCTAAAGCAAAAACGTGCTTGGTGTGTTTAAGAAACAACAAAGCCAATACAGCTGAAGTAGAGAAAGCCAGAAAAACAGGTAGGAAAAAGTCAGAGAGGTAAGCAGGAGCCAAGTCACAATGGGCCACCTGTCACATTTTCTAATTCGAATTGTTCTTCATAAATTAAATTTCAAAATAATAGATATCTACAGCTGCATTTAAAGAAAAGCATTTCCCCTTAAGGCAAGAAATTAAATAAAAACTTTATGCTGCTGCTCAATAAACCCTAAGAATTGTCAAGATAGCAAAACAATATTTTCTGAAAAAAAGATAGTGATCCAGGAATTAAGGTGTTAAAATATACCAGAATATAACCAAAATAAAATTTTCTAGAACATTTCTAAAAAGTTTAACTCAAACAATCAGATGATGAATTAAAAAGTATTTTCCTGGGATGCCTGGGTGGCTCATTCAGCTCAGGTCATGATCTCAGGATCATGAGATGAAGCCCTGTGTCAGGGTTCCTTGCTCAGTGGGGAGTCTGCTTGAGATTCTCTCTCTCCCTCTGCCCCTCCCCCCACTCACACACTCTCTCTCTCTCTCTCTCTCTCTAAAATAAATAAATACATCTTTAAAATAAAAGGGGGGGTACCTGTGTGGCTCAGTCAGTTAAGCGTCCAACTCTTGATTTGGGCTCAGGTCATGATCTTGGGGTTGTGAGATCGAGCCCCATGCCAGGCATCACACTGGGTGCGGGACCTCCTTAAGATTCTCTCTCCCTCTGCCCCTCCTCTTTCTACCCCCCTTTAAATTAATTAATTAAAAAAAAAAAAACCCCCTCACCAAAAAAAAAAAAAAAAAAAAAAATTAATTTCCACCAGCAATCACAATGCAGGTCTCCAGCAGTACAAACTTATGCAAAAAAAGACCTAAAATTTTGCACTCTGTTTTATAACTTTGGTAAATTAACTACCATCAAAGGGGTACTTGGCTGGCTTAGTGAGTAGAGTCTGAGACCCTTGATCTCCAGGTGAGTTAGAGCCCCACAATGGGAGTATAACTTACTTTTAAAAAAGGTGGGGAGAGGGCCTGGTTGGCTCGGTTGGCAGAGCATGCAACTCTTGATCTCAGGGTTGTGAGTTCAAGCCCCACACTGAGTGTAGAGATTACTTAAAAATAAAATCTCTAAGGAAAAAAAAGGTATTTTAAAAAATTTACTACTGGGGCGCCTGGGTGGCTCAGTCGTTAACGCGTCTGCCTTCGGCTCAGGTCATGATCCCAGGGTCCTGGGATTGAGTCCCACCTCGGGCTCCCTGCTCAGTGGGAAGCCTGCTTCTCCCTCTCCCACTCCCACTGCTTGTGTTCCCTCTCTCGCTGTGTCTCTCTGTCAAATAAATAAAATCTTAAAAAAAAAATTTACTATCATAAAGCTAGTATTAGTTTACTCCCTAATAATCCAATACTACAAAGCTAAGCTACAACTTGCAATTACGGTGAGTTTTATATTTTGTCTTGTATTCATTTTTGAAGAAAAATGACCCTTCTTTAAGATAAATATGACAAGAGCCCAGTAACAGCAAAATCGTTTTTAACCCCTCTTAGAAATCACAAAGGAGGTATTAAATTCCTATTTAATTGCACATAGTTAATGAAAAAATATCTTTACCATGTTTTTACCTTGCTGTATTTTCTCAGTATCAGACAAATGCTTCTCTGAGATTCTTTTTCCTGTTACAAAGCTGTGGATCATTTTATTTTACTTTAATAGATTTAGTCCTCTTGAACTGGGAAATATAGTTACTAGATTTTCCAATTCCCCATGCGATCTAAAATGCTTAGTTTCGATAACTGATTCTCTAACGAATAATCTATTTTAGTTCTCAAATTTAAATGAATGCCCAATTACTTCAGAAAAAAATTCCAAAAGTCAGTTTAAGTCAGTGATAATGTGGGGGGGGATTAAATAGACATTAAGTAGAAAAATTAAGTAGACATTTTGAATCCTTTTCATTTAAAAAAACGATTCAAAACAGAAATAATTTTCTAAGCTCCTTTTCAAATGATTACACAGTTCAACATAAATCTCTTTCAGAAGAGGGTGTGTAATACTTACTGTAGTCAAGGGATTTGGGGTCGGTATGGGAAGCAAGCCTGCACCAGGCATTAGACTTGTCATGGTTGGAGCAGGAGCCAATAAAGAGAGGGCTTTGGATTCCTCTGGAATTTTACCTGCAGAGGCAAGTTCCAAACATTACGGAAAGCAGAAACACCACACAAACTTTACACTATGATTTTACAATTACCCTTGCACTTAAAAAATAATAATAATAAATGAATCTATCTATCAGATCTGTACAAAGAAATAAATAAGAACTTAAGTCTTTCCTTTTATCCTGCTCTACTAGGAAAAATAAAAGTGAGCAAAACTTCAAAGACTAACAATCTCATTAATGGAATATTATTTTAAAAATTGAATAATGTAGACAATTATTTAACACTTTGAGCTATGGGTCACCTGTACTGGAAACTTAATGTTCATGAACCAAACGATATCAAGCATGGACGCTTTCCCAGGACGGTGTTTTCGCGGTGATCGAAAGTTGTGTTACACATGACAACCGTTCGTGTTGGCTGCATCACTAATAGCACACAGAACATCAGATACAGAAAAGAAGAACATTTTTTAAAGTTTAATCCCCAGAAATGGCAAATAACCAAATTAGTCAAAAAAAAGAAAAAGAAAAAACAAATATGTGCGAATTGAAATTTGTTCCTTAATGAGTGCTCCTGGTTACTAAAACTACCTACTGGTGATGCAAACAGTTTTGATAACCTTCCAATAAATTCCATTCAATATCAAGTAGACAGAAAAAACCAAAAGCCTATTCCATGTAATCAGCCTCAATTTAAAAGGATGCCTACACCCAGCTGGTTAAAAAGACATCTCACCAACCAGGCCAGAGATGCCTAAAAGAATCCAATTCCAAAATATATGCCTTGTGAAACTACTAAAATTTTTGAGAATCACTAACAAAAAAAGTTCCCTTGTCTCAGGAAACTTCTTAAAGTCCTGACTTTTAGAACCAATTTATGTATACTTATCTGAAGAGGGGTAGTTAATGCCTAAATGTCTTGCTTATAAACATCTTAATTGCCTAATAAAAATGACAGTAACACTAAAATAATCTTAGACACTAAAAAGAAAAAAAAATCCTTACAACTAAAAAATGAAAAATTTACTCTAAAGTTCATCAATTTGCCATATTTAATTACTAGACTCTAATCAATTAATTTTGATATGAACCGCAACTTTCACACATTTTCCCTTTGTATCCTCTCTTTCTCACTGACACCGCTAAAATTATCTCTTAGAAAGCTGACTACATATATCTATTTTAGAAGAACTACTTATAGTTATATGTAGTTGGCTATATATTTCCATTATGGAGTCCTCAAAAATAATTTAAAACACAGTGTACAAAGTCACACTAAATTGGAAATAGCATATGGAGTTAAGTTTTCAAAAGCACCATGATGGATTTTAGAAGTAAAAATTCTACTTAAAACAACCAGATGTGGAGGGATAAATCTCTAAACAATATTATCTGAATATACCTCTAAACATGGATGGAATTCAAGACAGCTTTTAAATTTTGCTTTAAATAATGGTTACACCTTATTTATAGGAACAGAAAAATTACATTTGATTAGCTTTAACAAATGTCTACTTTTTCCTAAATTCTGCAACATCTAAGTCTACATTAATTTACTAATTTCAAAAACAGTTATTTTATTATTTCAGTGTAAATTCTGCACAAGCACAGATTTTTTAACATGCATAAATAAAAGGTAGGTAGGCCTTACTGAAGACATCAAATAACAGTAATTTATTTTATATTTATTAGTTACTGGTATTGATACAAGTTTCTATATACCCACCTATATATACTAAGCTATTTAAATTGCTACCAGACCCATTTTAACTGTTATAAATAGGTATTATTTTTAATGCTTATAAAACCTGAACACATCTTGATAAATTCAACTGAGGTCCTGTAGCATAAATCTTATGCTTTGTCACCCTAATTTATGTACCCAAAAAACAAATTGTTTCAATTTATTAATGTCCCCAATTTAAGATTACCAGTCAATTAAGTAAGCAAAACTGCCCATAAAAGACAGTGTAGAAAGACTACACAAAATAAAAAGTATTCAACACAGGCCAAAAGATGAATAATTAATATCATACTTTCACTTTTGGCTTAAAAAAAGTATCAATCGGTTATCTGACTCTCACTACCTCTCATAATAGTAATAAGCTATTATAAATATTAAGTCTAACTGTAAGCCCATTTTTTATTTTAATTACCATTAAAGATATCTTAAGAAAAAAGTTCCATTGCTTAACTCCCAAGATAGAATTCTATCAAATTTATCCTCCAAATACTACCAGAGTATATACAAAAATATAAAACAAACAAGCATTTAGCATTTTTCCCAAACTATACTCAAAGACAACTGAGAAGAAAAACATCTCTCAGAGTATTAAAATTAATAGTCCTAATCTCAGAATCCATTTAGAAGCTAGTAACACCTGAAATTTTTTCAAAAAATTCAAGCAGAGAAAGACACATGCCAAGTAAGTTTTCAAAGTCTGTCAAATATCCATTCCCCACACAGGCAAGTAAAAGTCTTTGTAAGTCAAGGAAGTAAGTTCTTTCTGTAGTAAATAACTCAAAAAAGTGAATGTCTCTGCTTGTCCTCTACCCTAGATTATTCTAAGAAATTTACTTATTTTCCTTGAGGATTTTGTATGCCTACAATTCTGGGGGGGAGGGGGAAGGATGAAAATTAGAAGCTGTTAACTGGTTTTTATGAAAGATGTAGATTTGGGAGAAAAATCTGAAATGCTGCAATGAGGTCAGGAAATGTTCCTAAGAATTCTATCAGTGTTTTAGTGTTTCAAGAACAAAATGTACTATGCAGTCTATAAACACCAATTAAGACTCACACTGAGCTTCACAACACTGTATCCTAGTTTACTATGAAAATTTATTTCACTCTAAGATTGAGCTCTGCTAATCATCTCCCAATATAATCTGCAAAGCAATGTTATGAACCCTTAATGGAATACCATTTACAAAGAACTGGAAAACCAGCTCACAAGTTAAAGTGAAAGAGATTTAACAAAACAAAAACAAAAACAAAAACAAAAAAAAGGGACAAAATAAAGAAAAAGAAATGAAATTAAAGTAAAACAATAAAAAACAGAGACAGGGCGTCCATCTTCTGCGGTTCAGACTCCGATCTCATTTCCCCAATGAAGGTTTCACTTGACGGCAGGTTTAGTGGCATGGCAAACAATGCCTAACTCAGGCAAGTGTAACAGGTCTGCCTTGGCCAGTCTAGTCATCTAATAATGCACAAATATCACATAGAGAAAACATACAAAACCAAATTAATAGTCAAAATCCATCTACCAGAAAATGTGGACATAAAGTTACGACTGATGATTAGGCTTGACACCCTTGTTATGTTTGACCTTATCTTTTTTCTAAGTGTTAACATTTATAAAAAAGAAATCTGAGATGCACGCAACAACAAAAAGAGGTCATATCTGGACAAGTATAATGAAGGCATATTTTATTTTGAAATGGCATGTTTTATTAACAATAGCTAATGCTTAATATGCATGAAACTCTTACACATCAAACATTACTTATACAGCTTAGGATCTTGTTACAAAACTGCATTACAAAAACAGCAAATTGAAAGAAAATGAAAAAACTTTTCTTAAAACTGATTCTACGGTTTTCTCATATCTTTCACAATGCTGTTTCTATAACATCAAAGAAAGAATGCAACCAGTGAAGTAAATAGAAGAATGCTTACAGCACCCCATCTTCCTCTAAGAGAAACTTACTCCACTGGAACTCTTTCCTTTGGTTTATTTCAAACTCACTTTGCTATCTTTTTCAGTATAATAACACATTATTACTTTGCTTGCAGTGCATAATCAGATCTTTAACAGCTCACTGTAACACTCCTCAGATTCTAAAAGGTTATTCGGTGGTATTTAAACTAATGAAAAATGTGTATCTGAATGTTTCTCTAACAGCAATTATTTTATCAGTGTTCTAAAATACTTACAACTAAACTGCAATAAAAATGTGCTTAAACTTTCATGTTCAAAACCAGAGAAACTGTCTCAAAGTGGTAGTATTAAAAATATTCAAGAGCTATTATAATAAATATGTATTTATTAAGCTCTATTAAGTAAAATAGACAAAAAAGAGAACCTCTACATGCCCATAACCTTGAACACTTAATGACAAATCACAGTATGGGCTTCTCAAATACACGAAAAATCTATGGAAATATAGCAAGGTTCCAACAAAGCAACACTGATACAAAATTCTTCCTTCCAATTCAGTAAGCTAACATAATACAAGATCCTGCACTACTGGTAGCATAGTTTTCTGATATGATTAATATTCCCATTTAATAAAACTTCTGATTTTTTTCCCATGCAGTTTACCTGGTGTGAAACTGGTATGAACTTGGTATGCAGAACTAAACCATTTACCAGCTCTTTTCTCACCTTGCTCTCCAATTCTGGGCTCACTGTCCCCTTACAGATCAATAGATAAGGATAGATTCAGCAAATAATTAACTTTAATCCATTTTTATTCTACCTTTCCCCAGGCATGGGAAAAATACTTCCAAATTCATCTGAAAAAAAAATCCAGAATGTCCTATTCTGGGACTGCAAAACCAAAAGAATGGTACCTACTGTATCTAAATGTAATGTTTTTGACATCCCAGAATAGGCATTCTGAAATAAGCATCAAACTTTAAAAGTGCAGCACTGTGTACCATATATCAAGTTATTTTAATATTAGCCTGGTTTCTAAAAGAGGCTTTAAAACATGACATATGAAAGCTCCTTAAACTGTTCCAGGTAAATTTTTTACATTGTACAACAGTTACCACCATCCACCAGGGAAAACATACTTTAAGAACGTTTAAATTATAATAACCTATTCTAAAATAAATGTACACACACCACAGTGTGTACTCTAAACAAAAGTTAACCACACACCAGAACTGTCAAATTCAGCACAGCCTATTATATGTGAATGGCTCTGTAAACGGCAATAACTAAAAAATAAGTATTGGTAATAATTAGCTCTTAAAGCAGGTTAAGTCTGAAATTTATTTAGTAACTATAAGGCTTTTGGACTTGTTCCCATCTTCAACAACTATTTCCTTGATGGAAGCTTTGGAAAATTACTTTCCATTCAATTACACATCCCACCCAAGAAAAGCAAGCCATTAAAAGAAAAAAATAAGTTCCAGTTGCATAGCAATCACAATGAATATGCAATAATGGTCTCAATGACAAGGTGAATTACCTTAAGATGATACTTCAGAGATTAAATTATGAGTATTTTTCTAATAAACATAAATACCATTTAACCCCAAATTTGGCAAAATGCACAGTTTTTATTTATGTCATATCATTAATATTGTATACACAGGGGCAAATGTTCACTTGTTTATACATTTAAAATAATTTCCCCTACCAATTTAATATTTTAATTTCAGAAAGCTTTGTTTACCACTTGCAAATTGACTACAGAAAGCCAAAGCAAACCACAATTCATGAATTTTTTTAAATGTTTGGCTATTAAATCTCAAGCATACATAATAAATTAACCACTGTATTTTATTATTAGGTAAAAATTCTTTCCTTCTCCAAATTTCATTCTTAAACACACACACAGTGTACTATCTACCTACCAATTTCTAGGAAAGCCAAAGGTAGTAACACACAGGACAGAGATTAAAATAATAGGAAAAAACACGGAAGATACCAACCTTCTGCACAAGGTACAACTATCAGAGCTCTGTCAATAAAAACCGTGTTAGTTAGATGCTGGGCCACGCCAACACTTGATGGGTCACGAAACTTAACATAACATACTTTGGAAGAAAAAGCAAGAGGTGCGTTGCTGCAAGATAAAAAGAAAAACAATTGGACTAATAAACATTTGGTTGGTTTTGTCATTTTCATTTGAAATTTCTTTCTTAGATCTTTATATAATCTTACACAATCAAGACAAGAATTTTTATTGCTAAGGATCATTAGCATATAAAAAGATTTGCATTTTCAAGTTTTTATTTAAATTCCAATTGGTTAATATACAGTTACCATCAGTTTGTTCTCTATAGTTAAGAGTCTGTTTCTCGGTTTGCCTCCCTCTTTCTCCCCTTAGCTCATTTGTTGTTTCTTAAATTCCACATCTGAGTGAAATCATATGGTATTTGTCTTTCTCTGACTTATTTTGCATAGTATAATACTCTCTAACTCCATCCATACCATTGCAAATGGCAAGATTTCATTTTTTATGGCTGAGTAATATCCCATTGTATATACACACAGCTTCTTTATCCATTCACCAATCAATGGACACTTGGGCTGTTTCCACATTTTGGCTCTAAACTTCGGGGTGCATATATCCCTTTGAATTAGTATTTTTGTATTCTTTGAGTAAATACCTAGTAGTACAATTGCTGGGTGGAAGGACAGTTCTATTTTTAACTTCTTGGGAAACCTCCATACTGTTCTCCAGAGTAGCTGTACTAGGCAAAACTTAAGTCTTTTCATGGTGATTTGTCTGCAAAAGTTGAC